CTGTCTGCACGCACGCTCTGCAACATCTGCCGATCCGGTCGACACGGCACCGCCGCCGTTTCTACATGCATGCATACCCCTTCTTCCTCCTCCTCTTCCTCCAGCAGCTGGAGGAAGAGGAGGCATGAAAAGCCATGGCAGGTACCTGTAAATGAACCAGACACTCCTGTTCACAGGGCCCAGCGACGGCCAGGAAGAAGAGAGGGAGAGAGAGAGGGAGACATCCTCCTCGCCGCATGCCCCCATCGCCATTTCCTCCCCTCCCTCTCCTCCTCCTCCTTCTCCTGGTCCTTCTCCTTCTCGTCTTCCAGCGAGACAGCGGCGAGCGCGAGCGGCGAGAGAGGAGGAGGAGAGGAGGAGGAAGAGGAGAAGAGAGAGACAGAGGAAGGGAAAGGGAGAGGGCCAAGCTCTCCCAGCCCCTTCATACTTAAGACGGAGAGGAGGAGGAGGAATCGGAGAGACTGAGGGATTGAGATGGTTAGCTGCGACTGCGGCACAGAGAGAGAGGAAGGAGGAGGAGGAAGAGGAGGAGAGGAAGACGGTGGCTTAAAGAAGTAGAAGAGATACGGAGATGTTTCAGAGGGGTTTCCAGCACGACTCAATCAGAGCACACCGCTGCCTCCTCTTTTTTACGCTTAAACAATTTTACGTGATTTCCAATTCACTGGAGATCCATCATCCATCGGCTTCTACACCCAGAGGTGGAGTTAGGATTGGACCTTCTCGTATACCATTACGTCTGTCGCCATAACTGTTTTTAGAAGTTATTCAGATGAAAGATTGTTGTTTTAAGGCCATTTAAAAGTAATGTAAAATTACTTTGAATTTTATACTAAAAATTTAATGTACTTTTTCTATTATGTACTTTCAATGACATAAAATAACACATTCTGAAAGATAAATTAACTTTAAATTATAATTAACATTTAACGCTGGCACTTTTAGACATCAGTAAACAAATAATCAGAAAAAACAAAACTGTCCAACAGGAGCCAGTTGAGACCAAAGCACCAGACTTTAGACTTTTATCATCCAGTTTTTGGTAGAAAGAGGAAGAAATTGCATTTATCCTGTGATTAATTGATCTACTGTTTGTTCTGTTAGGCCTATATGTCACTTGATAATAATTCTGATTAAACATCATCACTATAACTCCAATTCCAAAACCTTAAACTGCTGCTGCGCAGGTTACGCAACAGGCCGTTGCTAGGTAACCAAAGAACGACTGAGTTGCTAGGTAACTAAAAGAGAGCGAGTGAGTTAGTTGATCCCACCAGCCTAGCTTAGCTGGCAGTGGGAAAGTTGGCTAAAGTCTTTCCTCTGCCTACATCCCCCAGAATGCAGTGCGGTCCTGGATTATTGGATCTATCAGATATCTATCGGACTCTATTTATTGATATCGATCATGTTTCTATGGTGATGTATATTTTCATTGATTTATCGTCCACCCCTACTGCTCAGTCATCTCCAGAACTGTAATCCTTTTTAGATATTGTAATAATTTTGATTCAGTAGTTTCATATCACTTTTTGACCATTCTATTGGATTTAATTTTGATCTTAACCTCATGTAAACAAACTTTATCGATAAAGTAATTCTAAGGTTTCCAGGTTTTGTGAATGTATCAACCTTCCAGACCCCTCATGTTCCGGTTCTGCTCTGCATCTCCAGAACCAGAACCAGAACCAAACAAAGAGAAGCAACATTCAGCTTCTATGCACCACAAATCTGGAACAAACTTCCAGAAAACTGCAAAACAGCTGAAACACTGATTTATTTTAAATCCTGACTAAAAACCCACCTGTTTAGAATTGAATTTGAAACTTAATCAATTACGAATTTAATGATGGCACTTTGTGTTTTTTATGATGTAAAGCTCTTTGAAATGCCTTGCTGCTGAAATGTGCTATACAAATACAATTTAATTGATTGATCGATTGATTTAGCAAAACAAATGATTATCTTCAGCTTCCATTAGACAGCTGACGTCAGGTTTTATTGAAAGGATTATTTGAACACGACGAACGAGAGACATTCACACAATCACAGCAATTTGGCAAATTTTTTAAAGCTAATAGTAAAAAGCTCAAGACAAATAGATTGAGCAAAGTTTTAAAGAAAATTTTTTGGTTCTCTAGTTTCTTTGTTGTACTCAAACAACATGAACTACTTCCTGCTTGCTGGTGCAAACAAAGCATGAGTAAGGCACTGCAGAGGCTGTGGATGCAGATGGGAGACGAGTGGCACTCACATCATCTCTCCGTTGTTTCCTTCCTTCCCTCCATGTACGTTTAACCCGTCCTCCGTCAACTCGCCCTCCCTCCCTCCATTTTCCCTCCGTTCCTGTCATCCTCTCGCTTCCCTCCTGCCTTCAACCGCGGCTCTCGTCGCCCGCTCTCCTCTCATGCCTCTGCCGTTTTGTTTTCCTCCACGCTCGGCGGGCGCCGCCGCTGTGATTGAGCTACACGGGGAAAGCTGGGCTGGGTGGAGCGAATGTTGACAGAAGGTCCACAGGATCACATGTTTGTGTTCGCACATGGTGTTCTCTAAACGGATCCGTCGTAACAGGATCCAGTCTTTAGCCATTGGCACACAATGGTAACGAAAGATTCATCTTTCATTGCCAGGACTGTTTTTAAACATTCATAATAAAAGAAAGAAGTCCTGAATTTAGTCCAGACTGTCCAGGAACCACAGACAATTTAGTTTTATACAGTTTGAGCTGAACTTCAGAGGTCTGAAGGGTTTCAGAATAAAATACTAAAGTATTGAACTGATAGGAGACATTATTGCAACAGTAAGGATTTTAATATGTATGTATGTATGTATGGATGGATGAATGGATGGAGATGGATGGATGGATGGATGGATGGATGGATGGATGGATGGATGGATGGAGATGGATGGATGGATGAATGGATGGATGGATGGAGGGAGGGAGGGAGGGAGGGAGGGAGGGATGGATGGATGGATGGATGGATGGATGGATGGATGGATGGATGGATGGATGGATGGATGGATGGATGGATGGATGGATGGATGGATGGATGGATGGATGGATGGATGGATGGATGGATGGATGGATGGATGGATGGATGGATGGATGGATGGATGGATGGATGGATGGATGGATGGATAAACCAGCTTTGGACAGAAGGAATTTCCAAAGGTCTAGTCAAATTCTTCCCTCAGAACAAACTGAGGTTCAAAACCGACACAATTTTTTTCAGACATCAATATTTTCCTGACAGCAACTCCAACTCTGTCACAGAGAAACTTCCCTGAACATAATCCCAATCCCCAAAAACCACAGTCTGCTTCAATCCCAGCTCCTGTCTCTCCTCTGCCTCTTGATCGCCCTGCGCTGTCTGACCTCCAGATGGAGACACGGCAGGGGAAGCGAGGGTGATAGAAAGAAAATTAAAAAGTGCAAGGGGGGTCGGAGTGCAGCGATGACTAGAGCGCAAGGGCGGGAAGCAGAAACGGTCCAGAGATTCAGCCAAACATGAACGGATGAAAGGAGAGATAGGTGAAACGATAAAAGTGGGCGGATCTGAGTCAGCCTTAAAGTCCAAAAGAACTCCATCTATGAATGTGTGAATGACTCATGCATTCACACATACATGTGTAAATCTGCAGGTTGTTGATGAAGCATGTTGATATATGAAAGTTTTGAAGTGAGTGAAAAGGGAAAAATAACAGCTGAATGATGGAAAACATGAATAATACATAGAGTTTGATCAGTAATTACAGGGTTTCTGTTCAGTGATTAACCGCATGTCAACAACACAAGATAAATTCGATCAGGTCACAACAGCACGACATAATTATGAGAAGTGGCAAAACTTCGATGAAACTCATAAATCAGGGGTGTCCAAAGTATGGCCCGGGGGCCGTTTGTGGCCCTCTGAAGGATTCTGTCCCAACCATAATCAGGGTTTCTGTAGGTTTCAACAAGTCAAATTAAAAGGAGACCCAATGAGAAAAAAAATCACATTTTGTGTGTTTAACTTGATTTGAATCTCAGCTATTTCTGAAAACAGCAGAATCACTCAGAAAACGCCCAGCTGTTTTTTAGTGTAGTTTCAAAAACGTCCTCATTGTTAAGTCACATTTAATGGCCCGTCACCTAGCAACTCAAGCTGAGCTCCAGCATGTTTGGTCAGCTGGTTTTACTGCTGTATGTGATGTAGAATGGTTGATGGAAAAGACAAGTGTTTTGTTGTTGACTTACCATCAAGAAACCACTTGCTGCAATCTTGTTCACTGTGCAGGAGGCTCCGCTGTTGTTTGTCAGAGCTGTACGGTTGTATAATTGCACATCTGTTTGCAGTAATTTTCACATGTGACTGTAAACGTTGAGTTGGGGAGGTGTGGCCAGCAACAGCTTATTTTGAACTGTCAAACTAAAGTAAAGTAAGAATAATTTTGTGCAAAAACTGTCATGAACATGTTTTGTTTAGCAAAAATGATTTTTCAAGTTGTGACTTTGGACCTGATGGCAAATAGTTTGGACACCACTGACATAAATGATGTTAACCTGATCATCCCGGATATTAGTTTCAGAAATAGCCAACATATTCTAGAAGAAACTCTTTTTTTTATGAAAGAGAAGATGGAATAGTTAAAATGGTTTTATAAACAGAGTTTTCTTTATACCATTGTGATATCACATGTGATTGTAAAACATAAATCCTACAAAAAGAATAAATAAAAAATATTCGAATGACCTAAACAGGTTTTCATAAACATTGGTTTTAAGGAAAATTTTATTTATTTTCCTCTTGATTAGAAGACAAAATATATCCATGAAAATCAGTAAAAAACAAGCAATTAAATTATATTTTTTCTTTTACAAAGCACTGAAAATTCTCTAGACACTCATCCTTGACTTTCAGCACCAACTGAAACTTAATTTTCTGTAAAAGCAGTTTCCGTATAACAGCAGTTTTCAATTCTTTTTACAGACATAAAGGAGAAAAACAGCTTTTTGTTCCTACCTTGGAGCATCAAAGCTGTCATATGATCCCACAGTGTAATGGCGAAACAACCTTTTGGCTCGTTCTCCACGACTCTCTGAAACATAAAATGACTTGAATCAAAGTGTGAACACCAGCTTTCACCAAGGTTTTTTTTTTTTATTTAGCTAATTTACTAACTAGCTTTAAATCATATATTTAGTTTGAATCTATGCTGAATCTAAATTAGCCTTGGCCTCAAACAAAATATTTAGCTTGAATCCATTATCTTGAAGCTAAAAGCTTGTTTGCTAACTAAGTATTAAGGTTAGGCTAAATGTTTAGCTTGAAATAAATAATTAGCATTAAATATTTAGGTTTAAGGCTAAATATTTAACCTCAAACTAAATATTTAGTTTGAAAAAATAAAAAGTCTGAAACACTAAAGCCTCTGCAGGAAATTTTTACCATCAGATTTCAGAATGGGATTATTTTTTTAGCTATAGCTAATTTATTACTTAGCTTCAAGCGAGATGTTTAATTAGCTTGAAGCAAAAATATTTAGCTTGAATCTAATTACCTTGAAGCTAAAGTGTTTGTTTTTTTAACTGTATATTTAGCAATAAGCTAAATATCTAGTTTGAGTATAATTATTTTGTTAAGCTAAATTAGTCTGAACTGGCTAATTTAGCTTAACAAAGCTAATTCACCTTTGTCAAGCTAAATTAGCCATAGCTAGCATAAATTGTTTTTCTTTATATAAAACAATTAAAACAATTAAAAAAACAGCTGTAATTGTGAAATTAATCTAATCAAACATTTCTCTTAGTGTTGAGCTAAACAATATTCAGTATTTTTACTCATGTTTGGCTCTCTGTGTTTGTGTACCTGATCGGTTGTCCTGACTTCGAAGCACCACTTCCTCCACACAGTCGGAGGGGAACCAGCCTGTGCGACCTCTGACCGTCCCCTCCCAGTAGCCGCCCTCGCCGACACTCAACACTGGGAGGAAAAAAGGTCAGCAGGTCAAATACAGAAAACCCAACAGACACATACTAGTCTCCAGCTAGTGTCAGACACAGAAAACAAGAACAGAAATAAAAAGACATCCAGGGTTATGCAGACAGCAAATTAAAAAACACAATGACGTACATGCAAACTCCCTACATACTCACCAAGACATACATACCTGGCGACACTTTAGACTCACTGACAAACACACAAATATTCATACCTGCAGACATTAGATATAAACATATATGGAGACCTTACACTCTCGTTAAGATTGTTCAACGAACTCATGTTTACCCAGAAAACAGGACATATTCCCCCTAAATTAGCTTAACTGAATCAAAACTCCTTTATCGCTCTCCCTTTCCTCAATTGCCAGCAAAACTTTTCCCACCCTTTTTACTTTTGGCTACATTAAAGGTAAAGCTGCAAACATTGGAGCTATTAGCGGCTCATAGACATTGTCCTTTATGAAATAGCTTCAGCTTTGACAAAAATCTAAATGTTTATCTTGAAATTAAACAAATGTTTGCTAACTAAGTATTTAACTTGAACCTATTTATCTTGACGCTAAAACATTTTGTTTCCTAACTGAATATTTATTTTGATGTATTTGTTTTTAGCTGTTAGAAATTTTAGTTGCCAATATTTAGCTTGAATCTATTTGTCTTGATGCTAAACATTTTGTTTAACAAAATATGTAGTTTGTAGCTAAACATTTATTTTGAAGATAGACTAACTAAATATTTAGCTTGAAGCTAAACAAATGTTTGCTAACTTTTTTGTTTGAGTCAAAATTTTTCAAATTTGTATTTGAAAAAAAAATATGGTGCTCGTGTCACTCATTAAAATTAATAAGTAAAACTTGATGTCAGTGATTGTGATGAAGTAAAACAGAAATTCAGAGGCTGTGAATACTTTTTCAAGGCATTGCAGACGCTTCATTCCTACCTTTTTAATCCCACATCCCTGCCCTCCTCAGTGAATTTGTGATCATAAAAGACGAGATACAAAACCACAAACTCCCAAATGGAGGTACGTGATCAGGAAGTGATGTCACAGTGAGGTAGAGCTTCACCTTTGACCCTGTCTCCTTTACTGAAGCTGATCTCGCGCTCGCCCTGAGCGGAGTGGGACCGCGTAGCGACAAAGACTCGTCCTGGGACGGCGCTGTAGAGGCGTCTGCGCTGGCCTGCAGTTTGTATGGTGGTGGTGGTGGTGGTGGAGGAGGTCGGAGGAGGCCTAGTCAAAGTCAGGAGAGGATTAAGGAAAACATACAGGTCTTTAAATTTATCACTTAAACTGGTTTGCTTTAAACAAATAAGAATCTGTAATAAACTTTACTTGAGCATTTTACATCTTTTTTTTATTCACGAATATCTAAATTGTTACTACAATTGTCCAACTCTATCAAATAACTTCTTTTTGCACTGTAAAAAACACAATTATTTTTGATAGTTTCTACTACAAATATCTCATTACACTTTAATTAAGACAAAACTAACTTGAAATTAACTTTTCAACAACATATATGAATGTTTTCTAAGTAAATAAGATTATTTCACTTATAACACAGAAATATGTTTTGTTATAAGTGAACTAATCTGACAGTGGAACAGTACATTGTTTGTCAATATTAAGACATTATTGACTTAAATATGTTCTTTTATGTTGCTGAAAAGATGCATGTAAGTTAGTTTTGTCTTATTTAGGAGTGTTTGATGAATTTTTTGGTTTAAACAAGTTTATTTTTCATTAAGTTACTCATAGTGAGAATTCAGAACTTTTACTCCAGTAAGAGCAGAAAATACTTTAGAAAAATATTACTCAAATAAAAGTGAAAAGTACAGCAAAGTAAAAATACTCCTCAAAGTATTTTTTAAAAACATTTACTCAAGTAAATGTAGTTTTTTTTTTTTTTTTTGTCAATATTTAGGAATTATTGACTTTAAAAAGCTACAATATTCTGCTGGAAAGTAACTTCATGTCTCATCCTCCATTCTTTCCTTCTCTAAAATTCATCTCTATCTTCCTAAACCGAACCATCACTTTGAGTTTTCATCTCAGTCAAGACTCCCAATAAAACTTCATCGATCTCCTGCAGTTTCCAATATTCTCCTCCAAAGTCTTTTCACTCAAGTCATCGTTGGTTCAAATCAGAGTCAGATTTAGTGTCCTGCTCGTCCTCTGCAGCCAGTGTTCAGCTCACCCCCGTCTCTGGCTCTGCCGGCTCCGGTCCTCCTTGTCTCCGATCCGTCCGCGGGACGGGGACCGCGTCCTCGCTCCTCTGGGGCTGCTGGAGCTCCGCAGGGTTCCTGTGTGTTTATAACCCTGAGACAAACAGCGAAATGAAAAGAAAAGGGGGTAAATATAATTAATATGCTTACTCTTAACATAGATCTATGTTTTAATATTACTAAAGGAAATGTTTTCTAAATCTGCCTGAATTTATGCTATTTAGACCTACAAATATTAAATTTCTTTATATTTTTCTACTTTTTCATCTTTATTTTTTTGCAATGTTTGAAGAAACATTGCATATTATAGATTATAAATATTAAGCAACCCAGTGTTGTATATTAATGAGGTCTAGTTATTTTGTACTTTCTCTTTTTCTGTTATGTTGGTTGTAGTGATTTATACGTTTAAAAAAGAAATTGGAGAAGTTATTTAAGTTTTGCAAAATGCATGTATTGTGAATAACTATAATCTCCTGAGAAACAAATCATAATAAAAAAAGAAATCTAAAGTTGAACTTATTGCTCAACGAATGACGAAGAATCGATCAATAAGTCTCTTGTTTCAAGATGGCCGACCATATTTCCACAACATAAAGGGCAAAATTTTTCAATATGGAATCTAAAAGGAGAAATATGTGAATGTATCTTAATTGTGGTTTTGTCACATTATCAACTTTAGTCATGTTTTTAAAAAATGTGATAAAAGAGGAAGCTTTAAGGTGGCTGAGTAGAAAAATAACCAATAAATAAAAATAATAAAATATGTGAATCAATTTTGAAAGTTCAGAAATTTCAGATTAATCTCAAAGTCTGAATTTTTCAGCAAAAATACTTTTTTTTTGTGATGTGCCATTGTAGTTCAGATACCTGCACAGAAACGATGTTGGTGCTCGGCGCGTTGGGAACAGCCATCCAGTCCGGTAGATTCATGCTGCTATCGCTGTTGGCCCGTAGAAACGGGTGGGGGTGGGGCACGGCCAACGTCCGGGTACTCTCTCTCCTCTGGGGGGCGTACTTTGGAGACTCCACAAAGGGAACTTGGAGGAAAACATCCAACAAATCGTCACTCTCATGATCGAAGGATGAATTTCTTTCTTTAAGTCAAAACTTCTTTCCTAACATTTTTGTTCTCCGTTAATTTGCTGCACAATCAGATGAATTCAACAGGACAGAACAGAAACTAAGAGGAAAAACAGACAAAATCCAAACCACAACCAAAAACCTTCAAAAAGTGTGAGGAAGCTCCTAAAGTAGAATATTACAAGAAAGTCTTGCTGCATGGAAGCAAATTAAAGATTTCATTATCATAAACAGATGTTATGCAGCACTTACCCACATCTGTATCCCGGTGGTTTTTTATAATCTCTCCCAATTCAAAATGGCCGGACATAACAGCCACCTGAACAAAGCAGTAAGCAAATAAAACACGAATTATGTAAAAACAAAACAAACAAAAAAACATTTTTACTGTCAAACTGTCAGAAAACAAATACACTCAGAACAGCAGTTGACCCTGATTATCCACAGTTTAAAATGATTTTGTTCTTTAATTTTGAAATAAAAGGTTTGATAAGGTGAAAACTTTTTCTGCATTGCTGCTCAACATTTTCTGAACAGCCAACCGGTCGCATTATTTATTTTCCTTGTTGACTTAAAACTTCAGATAATTTACTGATGACAGTTTTTATTATTATTTAAAACAAAAATTAAAATTAGATATACGTGAGCTATTATTTTATATTTTGCAATTATCATCAGCCAGGAATATTAAAGTAAATAAAAACATAAATTTCCTAGATCTCCTCCATAAAATACAGCTGTAAATATTTCTTTAATTGGTAATTGAAAGTAGCAAAATTAAATATTTCAAGCTTAATTACTTAGTTTCCCGTTTTTCTGTTCATCGTGAAACAATTTAAACTGTTCATAAGGATCATCAAATACACCCTAAAAAAATTATCTTATGATTTAATGTTTGCATTTCCAGATTTATTTCAATTAGCCTTTATGTATTTGAATATTATTTAAAATTATATTTCATGTTAAACTTATTATGAATGTATTTAAGTTTATGCAATAATATTTCGAATAAATGTGCATTACAAAAATTTTAACAAACTATAACCAAACTAAACATATTGGTAATAATTTTATTCTTTTCTGCATTAATAGATTTGTTGGTCAGAATTCGCCCAGCACCTTTATGTCACATAATGGTTGAAAGTTAATATAGAAATTTTTCCCGGTTTTATCTTTGTAAACCTTCCTGCTAATGAACAGTTCATTAGCTGGTGAACTGTTCATTCATTTCCAGCTCACCTGGAACGGAGTCTGGCCGCTGTTGTTCTTCATGTCTTTACTGGCTCCACGGTACAGCAGGATTCGTGCACAGCTTTCCTAAAACAAACATGGCAGGTCTGGTTCAGGCCGAGAAATATATTTATAATTCACAAAAAATAACAAGGAATAAATAGAATAAAACATGCAGGAACATTTAAATTAAATTTGTTTAATTTTTCACACAAATAACATGAAATCTGTCTATATACTAAACGGCTTCATGTGTTGCTTTGTCTCTGAAATGAACACTTTTATTTCTTTTAATTGAACACCATCTTGTTTTCTTAATTGAACATTTATTCTTTACCTGAACACTGTTTTGTGTTTTTACCTGAACACTGTTTTGCGTTTGAGTACCTTGTTGTATAAAGCACAGATGTGCAAGGCAGTGTTTCCAGAAGCATTCTGGGAGGAGGAATCCGCCCCGTAGAAGAGCAGGTGCTCCAGATGCTGCGAGTTCCCGTTTTGGCAGGCCTGCGCGTCGTCGGGATCGGGAAACAGAACCGGAGGAAACACCAAGACGAGGAAATCAAAAAACACAGAAAACAGGAACGGTTGTAATCTCCATGTTGGAGTATCTTTGTTATGTTAGTTCTGATTTGTTCCTTTTAGAGACTTTATTTATTTTTGGACAATAGTTTTCAGCTGACAGGAATTTTCTCTTATTTTTGTAATTTGTTTCAGTCTCATATAATGAGTAACCGTGGTAACAAGGGGTCAATTTCACACAAACAGACATTTAAGGCGGAGCGGCAAAAGCAAAGGATTAGCAGAGCTTGCTAATAGTTGATGGTGTCATCCAGGAAAATGTAGAATACTGAGCTGTGAAAATGATAGTTGTGTCTGACCTGTACATCAGTCTGCAGGCAGAAGCCTTTTCAGATTCACTGTGGGACTGACTGCTACTGGAGATTCTTCTCAACCAACAACAACAACATCCAGAACGAGTCTCTGGAGAAATGAGTTGGAATGACAGACGGATGGATGAATGTATGGATGAACTTATGAACTTAGGATAGTGATATGAATCAGCTGATGAAGATGGCGTCTACCTTTCTGCCTCTGCTTCTTGTCATTCTCTGATCAGTGTGGATGGACGGTTAAAATGAAGGATGAAGGTGGAGGAAAGATGGAGACAAACTGGAACACAGAGCAGATCTGAACTCAAACGTCTCAGTTTCCTCCCAAACTCCAAATGTTCCGGTCCGGGTCGCCTGAACGCACCTGATGCGTCTCGTCCCAGCCGTTCTCGTCCCTGATGCCCAGCTTGCCGCGGTGGAACAGCAGCGTTTCACAGCAGGAGGTGTCGCCCCCTGTTAGCACAGTGTGGTAGAGCGGGGTCAGCCCCCGCCGGTCCTTGTAGTCTGGAGACGCACCCAGAGAGAGCAGGACCTGCAGTAAGAGACGAGGGATCTCACGATGATGACTTGGAAAAATATAAAACCAGGAGCATGTAGCTTCTGTTTGGGTCTAAGAGGCTCTTAAAAACAGGCAGCTTGATTCTGAATCATGTGGGCAAGTGTGGATTTTTATCATGAGGTACAAATGAGAATAAATCTTGTTTCTGACGCTTTGGAAGTGAAAACTCGTCTTTTCTGTTTGGTGTGCCATTTGTAAAGTTACACAGGAGTATTTTGAATTATCTAGCCTGTCAGAGAAAAAACAAGTGTTCATTTTGTTCATATTTTCATCATGTTGTTCTTACATTTGTAATGTCTGAGCCCCAAATTACAAAACTTAATTCACAAGCTAAATATTAAACTTGTAAACTAAAACCTTAATTCCCATCCAAATGTTTGAAAATAAAATGTTTAGTTTGTTTATTTTGCAAACTAAACATTTAGCAAAAAACAAGTATTTAGCTTGCAAACTAAATATTTAAGCTGCTAGCTAAATATTTAGGTAGCAAAGCTAATATTTACCTTTTCTGGTAAATATTAGGCTGGGAAGCTAAATATTTGGTATGAAAAATAAATATTTTGTTTGTTTTGCAAACTATTCCAAATTAATATATTTAATATTCATATCAAATATTTAGCTTGCTAACAAATAGCTAGCAAATAAGCTATATATTTTGTTTGTGAGCTAGAACTGAAAGTTAAATATAGTTTTCAGACTAAATATTTAGTCAGTAAGTTAAATAGCTAGCTAACAACATGAGTAAGCTACATATTTAGCTTAATCGCTAAGTATATTGTTAAATAGAAAAATGATTTTGCCTCCTAACTAAATATTTAATTTTAAAAGTAAATGCTCAGTTCAAATATTTAATCTGGAATGCTAACAGCTATAAATGCATGAATAACATGTTAAATCATAAATATCATTGTTCTTATTTTTACAGTGTAACTGCACCATGCCTCTGTGATGTGGCAGTTTGCTGAGAGCAGGATGGAGACGTTGTGAGTGTTTACCAGCAGGGCTGTATGGCGGTGGCCTCGAACAGCCTTGTGAAGCGGCGTGAGTCCATCTTTGGCACGGAAGTCGATGTGAGCGCCTCCGTCCACCAGCACCCGGATGGCCTCTCCTCCACCTGGCTCGCACTGCACTGCCAGCGACAGAGGAGTCTCTGAACACAACACAGGAGGCACATTCAGTCACAGGAGCCGAATCAACCTGTTGGCTTCCACTTTAAGGATTTCAATCAGAATGATCTCAACTTGCTGCCAAGAAGCAGGATAAAAGTAAGTTGTAACGTCCTTTAAAGGCAATAAATGTTTCTATTCTTTCTCCCTTTTTGTTTTTCCTTCCCTTTTTCACAGCAATAAATGTAGAAGTTTGATAGGACGACGAATCGATCACATTCATTCATTAACAAACAGTCCAGCAGCAGAAGATGACAGCTGAAACCTGATTTTCTGAGTTTGTTGTTCAACAGGAATGACTGGTGATGGATGGATGAACGAATGAATGGATGGATGGACCTATTTAATGATGGATGGATGGATGGATGGATGGATGGATGGATGGATGGATGGATGAACCTATTTATTGATGAACGGATGGATGGGTGGATGAACATATGAACAGATGGAAAGATTGATATATTTTACTTACACTTTGAGGAAAGAAAATATTTAAAGTATTTCCAGCAGAAATGTGGTTGTCATGGTAACAGTAAGTTTCAGGTTTTGCTATCAGATAAGCAGAAAAATTGCTGAATCTTTGTCTTTGCTCATCTTCTGTGGATCTCATGTAAAAATCTAATAGCTGGCGTGTATTAACTAGACTTCTTCAGGTGTTTCTCCTTCAGAACGTCTTTTCTTCTTCTTCTCATCGATGGAAATGAGGCGCCTCCGCCACCAACCAGACTGAAACCGACAGAAATTAATTATCTCTAATTAAAGACTCATTCTGTGGCATCTGGATGTCACGAGTCGGTAGAGTAAAGCATTTTTATCCGTCAGTTCCTCACTAAGCTCTGTGCTGGACTTCAAGAACAGCTCTGAATCGCAACTCTCTGCTGCCCCCATGTGTCCAGCAGCGGCAGCACGTTTCACACCCCTGATTGCAGGCCTCTCTCGGTGTTTTGACACCCGTTCCCAAAGCGGCTGGAGCGACTCCGAGCAACACGGCTCGGCTGTAAACGAGCCGTCTGCCGCGGCCCTTAAACACCGGCAGGATCCGGGAAAAGCCACTAGTTAGCTGGCCTGGCTCTGATCTCCAACCAACTGTTGGGACAACAGCCGACAGAGCCGAGGGCAGAAAACAGAAGGTTTTATTTCTGCTTGGAAAAACTAAAGGTCGAGATTTAACAGCCGAGGCGTCAGGTCACAAAGGGGCTTAAAGCTATCCTTTTAAAAAGGAAAGACAACTGCAGCTTCACTGCTTTAGTGGCTCTCAAAATGTTCAATTTTTTATGTTAAAACGTCCCACATTAGGGATTATTCAGTCATCATTAATGAGTTAATCTAAAGTTAATCAACTAACTGTTGACTAATAAGCGGCCATTTTCTTTAAAAACTTTGTATCGAAGTCGCCTTTTCTAAACTTCTCATGCGTTGCATCTAAAAAAACGCATTAAATTGAACATGTTTGTGTGTCGACTGAGTGAAATACTGAGTAAATAAATAGAAAATTATGGTTTTCTCACCTTGTTAAACTTAACGAGTCCTGTAAATTAGCCGGGCTTAAAGGTTTAGTTTTTAAATATTTTTTTTTAAATATTTTTTTTTTCTTTTTGTAACATGTCACCGTATTTCTGAGTTATCCACTCCACTTTTCTGTCATCACGTCCTCCAGCGCGATGTAAGCGGTAACTTAAAGAGCTTATCGAGTGTTTTCATTCACAAAAGAATCGCAAAAGTTCTTTTGTGAATTAAAAAGGACTCGGTTTGAACCGTTACACTTTGCTACACAGCGAAGACTTCGCCATCTTTGTTTCTGTCGTTCCGGTTCAGGAAGACTACCATCGGCGCCCTCTACTGGACGGAGGCCAAACTGCAATATTGATCGAAGGTCTTCATGGATGTTTTTAGTTAATCTATTGGAACTAATTTCAACCTAATAAATCATTCATCGACAATAAATCATATTCTAAAAGTATCCTGTAAAATTAAGTTAAAAGTGAAACAACTGTGAACACAAAAATGTTTAAAAAGTGGAATAATAAGGTTGAATAGCAACTAATCCTTCACTGAAGCAGCTTTCTATTTGATTTCAAGACTCAGTCTCAGGAGGGCAAAAGGAAGAATTGTGGCGACATTATGATAAAAAGTAAAAAAAAAAAAAGGTTAGAAAAATTGTAAATATGTTGCCTCTGCCACATTAAACACTCTTGGCGGCTAACTGGACCTCTTTCTCTCTGGATAGGCTGTCACTACATCCAGTGTAACTGTTAGAAAGACGATAAAGTAAACATCTGCTGTGCAGCTCTCCTCACCACCAGTGTCAGGATCCTGGTAGTTTGGATCCAGGCCCTTGTCTATGAACTTGGCCATCTTGTCCACAGCGCTGGTTTGGATATAATCCATGAATTTCTTCAGACTAGCCTGTGTTAGCAGAGGGAGTGATAAGACTGTCAGATCTAATGTTCTGTTCTGATATCAGATATGAGAAATAAAGGATTTCTAACCTTGGTGTGCAACTTGGCCAGTTGCTTCTCATCCAGATTGGTCTGTTTGTAAACCCTGGTTTTATAGCGGAACTAAACCGGCGACAGAAACAAGAGAAAAACAAACAGGAGAGCCTCTGTTAGCATTAGCATTCTTACCTTTGTCCAACTTTTGACCCACATGCACAACAATTGGCTTCACAAGTTTATTGTAAAGCCAATTGTTTTATTTATTGTCTATGTAAGATAAGAAATGTGAAAAAACCCTGCCTCAACTGTGCATAATGCAAATACCAGAATATTTGAATAGTTCAGCTATACTTCTTTATAAAGCCAGTATTCAAATTACATTTTAAATTATATAAGTCAAAATTTGCCCCACAGACAATGAACAGTTCATTAGCTGATGAACTCCTTTAAAGATGGAGGCGTTTTATATATTTCTTAAGCAGATAATTGTAGCTTCAACAGAGAAACTCTTAACTGGTTAGGAATATGCCTCATATCGCAGTCTTGAGTAACAGCTCATCCTCTCTCCCCCACTTGTTTTCTGCTACACTGCTGGTAGCATAGCATGTTGTGAATGCTAGGCTACTTAGCATAGCTGCTGATAGTAACAGATAAATATTTTTTCTTTAATGATTAGTTGTATACGAGGATGATTGACAGCGCTAAGTCCATCCTCCTGGCTCTGATTGGGTGTTTTTGAACGGGAGCGGTTCATTTCTTCAGATGATAATAGCAGCTCATGGAGGAAGTGGGGGAAATCAGTATTTTCAGAGATGTTCTGTTTCATATTCCTCTGTCATGACATGGTGACAGTTTTGACAAACTCCTCATACAAGCTACATACTGCTTTAATCCAATCTGTTTTTGCTGTACTAAAGAACAGCAGTGCCATCTTCAGGAAGCACAGCGTACTGCACATCAGGGAGAAGAAGTACCTCCAAATATGGCACCCCTTTCTCAAAGGATTGTGGGTACTCTCTGAGCAGCCTCTCCTCCTCCAGGAACTTGGCGTCGTGTCCATCTGTGGCGGGCTGGAAGAGGCCGTAGTTCAGCACGTCTCGCAGCGATTCGGTCAGAGAGCAAAGCACCTGCTGCTTGGCCTTCCACACAGTGGCGTCGGGGTTGAACCGCAGACATTTCTATGGGATAGACAACAGAAATGCTTTAATATTCTAATTAATTAAGACAGTGATCAATAGTTCTGCTTAATGGAAAACAGTGAAGCATCGTTTTATGAATGGAAAAACTTTGAACTAATAAAAACATTTTTATTAAAAACCTTAATCTAAACCCGACTTATTAAAAGATCTGTGAAAAGATTCCTTCCTTTCCTTACTGATAAAAGTATAACTTCACAAGATGCTCACCATTCCTCATTTTAGTTTTAAATAATTTTTTTGTGTTGAAGTTCTCATTAAATTACTGCTTCATTCTTCCATTATGATCTTATTCTTGTATTAGGAAAAAGAAAAGAAAAATCACAGTCTGGCCTTTATATTTTGTTGTACAAATAGAAATTAAATGTCCAAAAACCAAAAATTTGATTAGCTTTAGTTCATGTTTTTATATTAAACTCTGTCGCACTTACTTAGTTCCGCACAACTATTAGAAAGAATTAAATAAAATTGCAAGAATAAAGTCTTAATATAAAGTCAAAATATTATAAGAATAAAATAATATTATGACAATAAAGTCAAAATGAGATTATTGTTGTACGAGGATAAAGTCGAAATGTTGAGAATAAAATCATAATATGAAATGAAAGTCAAAATAAAATGAGAATAAAAAATATTACAACTTTACTTTGGTGTCCTAATAAAGTAACGTGAATAAAATGGTAATATGATTTATTCTCGTAATGCTACGACTTTATTCTTGCATTATTTCAACCTTATTCCCATCATTTTACAATTTTTTTTGTAATGTTGAAGGCTTGTAATGTGATTTATTTTTATGGTTTTGTCAGTGTGGCCCTAAAACTCCACTGTCGTTTGGTTCATTGAGCTCAAGCTAAAACACCCGGCGATTCTGGAGTTCAGTCAGCAAAATGCAGCTGAAGAGCTGCAGCTTGGTGGGCTCAGGAGGTTTCTGGAGCTGCAGCCCGGCTGTTTGAGTTCTGTGTTCTGCTCCGTCTCTTCCGGTCCGGTCCGGTCCACCTCTGACCTTCAGGCAGCAGCGAGACGAATCTGGCCCACGCAGAGTGCAGTCAGATGCTGGGATCGCACTTTCCTCTCTCACGCAACGCTCATTGAGTGTGTCATTTATCTCAGCATCACACACACACACACACACACACACACACACACACACACACACACACACACACACACACAGAGAGAGAGAGAGAGAGAGAGAGAGAGAGAGAGAGAGAGAGAAAGAGAGAGAGAGAGAGAAAGGAATGCTCCCAGTTTATTATTTGTTTCTTTTTTTTCTGTGCATCTTCTCCACTTCGATTGAGCACAGCCGACACGGTCGCCACGGCAACCGGTTCATTAGCGGAGCAGGATGCTTGTTGCCATAGAAACCTCCCTGTGTTCCCTGGGATGTGGTACGGCGATGGTGCGCCTGTGTGAGCACGTGCATGGGTTTTATTGTGTGAATGGGTGTGTGTGTGTGTGTGTGTGTTTCTTTCCTTTTTTACCATTTACAGCACCGCAGATTTAATCCTAATGTTTGTATTACACGAGGTTTTCATCAAATACACACACAGGCGTATTTACAGTAGCATCAAAGAAGCTGGAGTGAGTCAGGCCCAGCAGGAGGGGATGAACGCTGAGGATTCAGCTGTCACACTGGGACGCTACTCAAGCTAATACAAGCTAATAGCGGCGCCTGAAAGTTGAGATATCTGCACTTAATGAAGCATCAAACTTTCTGGTGAACATACCTCCAGGAAAATTTGATTTATTCTGCGGCTAAATTGGATTTTTCTCACACTACAGCCCGTTTCTAAGCTGCCACACAAGCTCTTAATTAAACAACTCGACCGCCCTCTGGTGGACAGACAAAGCAATGCTCCTCTGCAACGGTCAGAACCGAGACTTTCTCTTATCTATGATAAAATTACAACTTTAATGTTCTCACAAATTAAAAACATGAGAAGAACAGAGGAGTTCATTAGGATTATAGTATTTTAGATGCAAATTATTCAGGTTTTCTGAGCTAAACCAATGAGTTTGAAGCACAACTTTAATTGAACGTAAATGTACATATTTTAGAGCTGAAGCAATTATCGTGATTAATCGATTATTGAAGTGACCGTCAACTAATTTAGTAATCGATTAATCCCTAACTTGCATATATAGACTATAAAAAGCCATTTTCTGACAGAGCAACATAATCAGAGCATAAATTAAGTCAAAAATGTTGTATTTAAGATGAAAATAAAAGTCTTTATCAGTCAATATGTTCTACCCAGAATTTAAGTGGGATCGTTCCAACTTCAAATTTTGTGAAATTCTCATTTTAAGCACCTTTTGCATCCATCATTAATCAGTTGCACATGCATCTCTCGCTACTAACCATTAAGCATACACTGAATGTATGCAATGTTGTTAGCTCATAATTTTAAGCAATAATGTGCATATTTTAAGGTATTTCTATTGTAAAAGTGGTTAACTGAAGTTTTAGGTAATTTTAGGGAAGGCGATTGTCAGAATATTGATTAAACGTCAGAATAATTCACAGATTAATCAATTACTAAAACAGTCGTTAGTTGCAGTCCTAGAATATAATTAATATATTTATACATCATTTTTCTCACTTTAATTAAATGTATAAAGGCTTTAAAAATGATTCCAGTGTTGAAATCCTGAGGTGGGTTCTACTAAATTTGACCCAAGTAAGTATGACAAGTTGTATGTATAGAAGAAATCATACATTAAAACTCACACATTCGACTGTGCATAATGTTTTCAGCATTTGTGTACGAATTTCATATGATTTCTAGCTTCACATTAACAAGTTGATGCTGCATTAATCCCAGTTCTTTTCCCCCGGTGGGTTTTTAATATCACTCAGATGTGAAATCCTGTCTTGCCTCCTGAAGCCGTGATCACACTTTCCCACTCACAAACGCCCACTCTCTCTGTCCGTGCTGCACTTCATCTTCCTCTGCCTGTCTCCGTCCTCCTTCCCGGAGAGGCTCCGCCGCTTATCTGTGCTGAAATAAAGAGTGGCTGCCCCTCTCTGCCACCATCTCCGTCCCCGTGGCCCGTTTTCCTGCAGGTCGAGTGCCGGGGGACCCGAGGCTTTTAATGAGCTCTGCTGGGAAATATATTCCTATCAAATACACCAAGAAATTAGGGCTGCAACTCGCCATTATTTTAGTAATCGATTATTAGATTATTCTGACGATTAATCGATTTAAAAAAACAACCAAACTCTGCAATTATTTGATTACACCGATGATTTATTGATTTACAAAAAGAGTCACATTCTGCAGATCTTTCACTTAAGCCTTATTAAATTACAGTATTAGAATCACATTAAAAGGAAATTATGCTTCAACTCAGTATTATTTTAGTAATCGATTATTCTGACGATTAATCGATTTAAAAAAACATTCACATTCTGCAGATCTTTTATTAAAGCCGTATTATGCTTCAACTAACTATAGTTGATTATTCTGACAATTAATCGACTAATTGGGTTTAAAAATTGACACATTCTGCAGATTTTTCAAATAACCATTTAATAAATTAAAATATGCAAATTAAATCATCATTTAATTCTTTTTCTATGTGAGAAAATAGATACTTTATTGCCAAAAATGTTATAAAATAGCATTAATTTAGTGAACTCTTGATCATTCATCGAATATCATTTATCGTAATAAATCTCCTGAATGATAATTTAAATTTATTGTTGTCATGATAAATTCCAATTAATGACATTCAAAGCACATAAAACTGCCTATAGTGTTACGATCACTAGTTTTACAATTTTCTCGACTGAAACTGTAAATATTAATTTTACGTTTCACGTTTCTTACTCAAGAATCCATTTTTAGAGGACAGGTTTGTTGTTTCAGGGCACAAATTGTGGCTGGAAGCTTCTACAACTGCTGCAGAGACTTCATCTCTAGTCACACAGAAAAGAAAAACCCATTTGCTTCATGCTGTTTAATACACTCAGAAGCCAAATGCCGACTCTGCTGCATCTTCGTGACTCTGACAATCTAATAAACCTGCAGTCAGTTCGGCGTTTACCCCCCGCTGAGGTGGGAGAGTCATACGAACCAAAGTTGCGACACACACAAACGTTTGCCTGTCGCTCTGCAAACAAGTGATTCAATGGACTGTTGGCTTTTTACATGAACACCCAGTTGAAGAGGAGGGACTAGTGCTGAGCATCGAGGCCCACAAACCCAGCAAAGCAATGATTATGCATGTCAGTGTCATCAGATACAGACTGATGTAACACCAGAGTCATGCCTCTCTGGAGCCTCACAGGCGTTTCAGTAAAGATGCAGGAGTATCTAAGTTGTTTTGTCAGAATGCATCGAGCTGAACACAGAAATGGTTCAGAAATGGCGAATGGATGATCCTCATGGTGGTTTTGAGTTAGCATAAATACAACCTGAAAACAAATAACTTCTAAATTATTTACCAGTTAGACCAGACTGCAAACCGTTATTTGAATATATCAAAACTTTTACTGAGCTACAAAATGGCACTGCTGCGTTGCTGCCCTGGAGTCTTTCTAGGGACTCTGGTTTAATCCACCAGTCCAAAACCTTAACAGTTTGGCTGACGGATGGATGGACGGACAAATGGATGGATAATTGGATGGATGGACAGACGGATGGACTTTTGCTTGTTTGTGCTTCATTATTGGATCTTAATTACATAAAAAGTTACATATGTTCAAAAAGTTTCACTGTATTTTGCAATATATTTCTCTACATCACATTTTATAGCTCATATTTAAATTTCCTATAGATATTAAGCATATCATATAACACGTGGCTCAGTGAATGAAGTGTTGTCACAAGCAATTTAGCGTTGCACAATTTTTCTTAAAATCAATTTTAAAAACAATTATGATGTTTTTAAAATCTTTTTCTGAGTTTTCCAACAATCCGATAATAACTCAGAATGGTGGGTCTGCAGATGATGTTAATGTTCCCATTTCCTCTTGATCAGTGGTGAAATAGGACATCACACAAATCCGCTACCGATTCCAATGACCGCAAAGGAGGTTCTGCTCAGGTAAATCAGGAAGTTTCAGCTTTAAAGGAGTTTTGTCTGAAGGTTGAAGATGTTTTTTCTGGCTTTAGAGGGTTAGCATAGAGCCCTGATCCTCAGATCCATTCTAACATGACTGTCAGTGCAAAATGATGTCCTTCATAAAACCCTGACCTCCAGGTCTCTTTCCCATCCTCCTCTCTCCTCCAGCAGCTTTACTAGCAGCGTTTCGAAGCACTGAAGGCAAATGTATTTTTACGAGGACAGATGCAGCCCTGGACATTTGAGATTACTCATAAAAATCTCTGAAATCCACATAAAAAATATAACTCACTTGAAAAATGCTCTAGTGAATTTCCACCATTTCAACTGTTTTTTTGTTTTGTTTTTTGCTTAATAAACTAGGAATTAAATGATTAATCGGATTAATCAGTTACTGAAATAATCATCAACTAATTTAGTAATCGAATAATCGTTAACGGGCGCATACAGACCCAAAAAAATATAATTTGATGGTTAAAATAAAATATTCGGAACAGTAATTAAACCTAAACTGTACAAAATATATGTAGAATCCAGTCAATTTCATATTATACTAATATATTATATACATTTTGTATCTTAGATAAAAACACTTGTCTGATTATGTATTTCAAAAAACTCCTCAACTGGCATGGTTTTGGCATGATTTTAGCTCCATCTGGTTCAAATTCACTACATTTTATTGCATTTTAGTGAATTAAAAGTTAATTTCTTACTTTAAAAATCCTTCATATTTTAATATATTTCTAATATTGTTTGTTTTTTATGCATTTTTGATATTTTATAAAAAATGCTTAATTGGTAAAATGAAAAATATGTAGAATGTGGCAGTTTAAAAAAAATAAATAAATCTGACTAATCGATTAATTGATAAAAATAATCAATAGTTGCAGCCCCTAAAACAAAAACATCACTAATTACCTTCTGAATCTGAAGCTTTCTTCCTCCCTCAATTCATAACATCTGCAGTTGCTCCCTGGTCTCATTACGACACAATTAGGCAGCAATTAGATTTTATTGAGGGTGAATTAGCTGACATGTAGAACAGAGCAAATATACTGGGAGGATGAGGGCGTATTAGCAGACATTAAAGAGCAACTGAAGGAAAGCAGGAGGAGGAAGAGAAACGGTGCAGGTTTAGAGAGAAAAGAGGGAAAAATCAGACAAAGGAGCCAGAATGGAAACATCAGGGTATCTGGTTGTAACTCCCATTACACCGGAGAGAAAGGGAAGTAGTTTGTTTACCTCAAATTCAAAGACAGACAAGGAAACATGCTGTTAGATTATTTAGCTGGGTCTGATAAACAGGTGTTTTAATGTAGCAGCTGAAATAAATTATTATTTTATTCATCGATTAATCGATTATTGTGACGATTAATCAATGAACCAGAAAAAATTCTGCACATTTTTTAATTAATCCTTTTTATACAACATTAGAAATTTATTAAAATATGCAAATAGATGATTGACTTACATTTTAAATATTAAAATAAATATTTATATAATATTTTGACAGTTCTTTCCAAATTCTTGGGAAGCTTCCTGAAGTCCCTAAAGCGCCCCCTGGAGTCCCTACCTGGGGCCGCAGACCACACTTTGGAAAACACCAATTTAAACAGCACTGCAAAAACACAAATCTCACCAAGTATTTTTGTCTAGTTTCTAGTGCAAATATCTCAGTACACTTGAAAAAAGACAAAACTAACTTACAAATAACTTTTCAGCAAGAAATAGGAGCTAAAACCAATATTAAGTCAATAATTCCTTAATATTGATCAAAACTACTAGTTCTATTAGGCCACTTATGGGAAAAATGTCTTGTCATCAATATTAAGGAATTATTTACTTAAAACAAACTCCTATTTCTTGCTGAAAAGTTACTTGTAAGTTAGTTTTGTCTTATTTTTACTGTACTAAGATATTTTCACTATAAACTAGACCAAAGCTACATGGTACGATTTTGTGTTTTTGCAGTGAAGCTCCTGAATGAACCGCAGTTGAGGAGATATTTATTACTTTTGTCTTTTTAGAACTTTTATCTCCGTCTTTTACGCCGTCTGCTTCCATCCATCTTTACCTGAAGCTCGTTGTTTGTGACAGTTCATCTGATTTCTGGAGTTCAACCCCGAACCAACTCTCACATCTTGGAGTTAACCTCATATTTATGACTTAAATTTAAAGCTGATTTGTTACAATAGACAGAGATAGGTACAATTTTTATGGCTGGGTTTACATACGTCGAACACACACACAACTAGCCATGCACTGCTGCAGGCATCCAGCGCTCAGATCAATAATAAATCACACAGCAGCCAGAGGAAAGAGGTGTTCAGTGAAGCATTTATGGTGCACCGGGAAGGTAAATATAAAATATGCTTTTGCTTCTTTGTAAGTTAGCTGATGAACACATCACAGAGGAAAGTAACCTTCAGCTCATCTAACTCAAAGGTGGTCAGCTTTCATCTACAGATGAGCAACACAATTCTTCTTTTCAATTCTCAGCTCTCTGTGGTTAAATTATGAGCGGAGGTTTGCCTCCAGCCATAATTCAGCGAAAAGAAATCCCTCATCATCAGAGACGAGAGCAGTGGGGAAATGCAGGAAGCGTTTGTGTCTGTGAACATGGAGGCAGCTGCATCTCCAACTTGCTCCGCTGTGATGTCATGCCTCTGAAAGCCAGTCACTCCCCAAAAAGAAGGGCTTTTCACTGGAACGTTTAAAAGCTCTTTGGCAACATCAACCAAGTGGCTACGCTTCCTCTCCTTCACCCTCTTCTCTCGTTTTTTACTCCTTCCCCTTCTGCTAGACTTTTAGGATCAACTTCCTCCCATCCAGATGGCTCTTTTAAACATTTCATCTTCTCCTCCCTGAAGCGAGGTCACCTTCAAAGGTCTTTTATGTGTTTCATGAAAAACATCCTCTTACTTTTGACTTTTTCTTTGCACATTTGATGGAATGGGCCAGAAACACAGTAACTTTAGGGTGCATTCTCACCAGCCCTGTTCAGTCAGCTTTAATCCAACTGCAGTCAGTTTGTCTGGGGAGGCGTGAAGTCGCAATCGAACTCTGGTCCGCCTACTAACCTTGGTTTCAGTTGACGTAAGACTGAGCAATACAGTTAAAAAAATATCAGCGTTTCATATCCATTGATATAAAAAAATGATTGATTAGGGTTTTGTTTTAAATATCTGAAATATTGTTATCAGACTAAGTGGCAGAACTTTAAACTGCTGCTGCGCCAGTTACTCGGTAGGCTGTTGCTAGGTAACCACAGAATGAGTGAGTTGCTAGGTAACCACAGAATGAGTGAGTTGCTAGGTAACCAAAAGAATGAGTGAGTTGCTAGGTAACCAAAAGAATGAGTGAGTTCCATCAAGCTTTCTTAGCTTGAGCAGCTAAAGTATTTCCTCTGTCTATATTTCCCAGAATGCTATGCAGTTCTGGATTTGAGTTAAAAGAAATTATGTTATATTCAGTCGGATCTGTTATCTATTGATATTAATTAATAGATAATATCGTAGTGTGTATTCTTATCGATTTATTTTCAAGCACTGGGTTGAAGTGTACTCTGGCGTGGTTCGAATACCAAGCGGAGACCGCTCCAAAAGCAGGAAGTGGCCTCCAGTGCAGAGCATTCTGGGTAAATACAACCGAGTTTGTTTTGGTTGCGAGATATGGCTACGCTTCCTATGGCTACAAATATGAAAAAATCAATCTCCTCCACTTCCTTCTTGAGATCCTGCTGTTGTCTGAAGAAAAGAACCGCTCCCGACCAAAAACAACCAATCAAGAGCAAGGAGGTAGATCTTTGCGCTGTCAATCAAATCCATGTTCTCGCTGCTAAATGTGTTAAACAACTTACCTTTAGAGGAAAACCGTCTATCTACCATCATCGGTGGCTATGCTAATTAGCCTGATTAGCAGTGCCACACAGAGAGTGATTGATGGCACTGAAACCCGCCTCCTGGCTCTGATTGGTTGTTTCTATTTAGCACTGGGGAGACAGAGGAGCTCGATTTTTTCCCAGACTATCTGTCTCATACCATACTGTTATGACAATGTAGCAGTTTCAACAGATATGCAAAGAAATACTTGGTGCAGCTTTCAGAAGATTTTCAACATTTTGTTTGTGTGTATCATACAGCTTTGTATGACTTGGACTCCATCTTGGTTTTGAGTGATCCTGTTCTGTGTGTGGACTGCACTCACCGTTTGCTTTATGTCTGGGATGCCGATGCGAAACACCATCATGGCGATGTGGGCGTCTTCAGATGGCACCGAGTTGGCAGTGCGCTCCTTCAGCCTCCTCTGCTGCTGATTGGCTGCTGCTTGGTGCGTGGGTCCGGGATTGGCCGAGTACGGGTTGGCGGCGTGTCCCGGGTTTCCTGGTCTCATCTGTCGATCCCCGCCGGATCGTCCCGCCGGTTTACTCGACTGTCTGTGTCCCTCGCCTCTCCCGATCCGAGGAATGCCTCCTCGCCTGACCTCCTCCACCATCTCCTCGTCATCATCGTCTTCCTCCCCTTCCAGCTCGCCGTTCTCCTCTTCCTCCCCGTCCTCGTCGCGTTCATCCTCTTCCATCTCCTCTTCTTCGTCTTCCTCCTCCTCCTCGTCTTCTGCCCCAGGATAGAGATGTCTGCTGTTTCCCAGCATCCTTTGTTGCTCCTCGTCGCTGGACAGGGGGCTGAATGGCATCGTCATGGCGACAAAGATGGCGGTTCCAGTGGCAACACCATCATTCCCAGAAAGTCACTGACGGGGAAAACGAAGAAAGAAAAGTTTGTGTTTCTCAGACGGAAGAAAGAAGAGTCAGAAACGACGACTTTAGGGTTTGAGTGAAGAATTATCTGAAAAGTTTCCACCAACAAGCCAGTCACTACGGAGCTAAATCAGAGCCAAAAAGTTTGGACCGAAAAATTATCTTGAAACTGAAAAACTATATATTTGAGAATGAAAAATAATTTTGAAGCAACAACAATTTTAAAGCTGGAAGAAATTTATTGAAACTGAAAACTTTTGAAACTGAAAGAAAGCATAAATGTAATCAGAGCTCTAAAGTGTGATGACTCTAAAAAATTTGTTTACTCAAAGCAGGAATAAATTAAATATCAGCATTAACATTAATTGACCAATTTTAGCCAGACATTTCAGAATCACTCTCTATTTTATATTCAACCCTGTTCACTCAAATTCTTCAAACAAGAGTGTAGCTCGTTGCTAATATCTGTGCCTAAACCACATATTGAATTCACCTTTATTTAATGTACTCTCAGAATAAATCCAGCTGTTTCGTTAAAGTCTGAGAGGTTCAAACTAATGGTAACTGTAGAGGAGCTGCACAGATTCACAGCTCAGGTGGGAGAGTCATAAGGCTATTTTTATGGCAGATGGAAGTCATTTTTACAAATTACCAGAGGAAACACACATTTCACTTTTTAACAATGCACGTTTCAGATTTTCATCCTGTTTCACTTTCCTTCTACTTCACATTTATGCTCTTCTTTGTGTTTCTAAACCACATAAACTCATAAAAAATAAACGTTATCTGCGGTAACACCAGGTATAAACCAGTGTCTGCACTTTAAAACAAAGACGATTTGTTCCCTTTTCTTTCGCATGAACTATAAAAGTCCAACAAAGCATTTTAACAGACAGATAAAATGATTGGAAATGCAGCAGATGAGCAGCTGACGGAAGCTGAATCACTTCAATATCTGTCAGGCCGGAGGAGGTGTTGAAATAAATGCTTTTCATCTGCTTTAGACAGTTGTTCTGTTTCCTGGCTTCCTTTTCTTTCTCATTTTGAGAACACAAACAAGACAATATGCTGTCATTGTCACAGAAACAAAACTGAGCTCGAAATTAGTGAGGAAGCAGCTGGGAGGCAAAGACTTGGAGAGCATCAAGGTAACAGGCAGTCGAGTGAAACAACAGCACATTAGAGACATTATGGATAGAAAAAAAATATTTAATTTGTACAAAAAAGTTTGAAGTTAATCTCAGATACCCTCTAGAAAAAAACAAGTACTATTAAAAAGCCTCGCTATTAAAAAATTCAAATGTCGAAATTATTCTAAAAAATCTTATAGGAAAAATTTGTCAGTTTCTGAGTTTGAAAAAAAAAATGCTCGCAAAAAAGAGATTTATCTCATAAATTTTCTAAAAGGAAATTTAAAAATTTTGAGTTTGAAAAGTAAAACATTTGCTAGAAAAACAAATATTTAGATTAATATTTAGATTAATCTTCTTTCTTCTTTCTTGAAAGAAGAAAAAACTTTGAGATTAATCTAAATATTAATCTAAATAGAGAAGTTTTGAACTTTGAATTTGAAAATTTAAAGATTTGATGAAAAAAATCACCTTCAGTTTGATAGAAAACATGTTAATTTTGTGAGTTGTAAAAGTCAAAACTTTAATCTCAAAAATGTTCTAGAAAACACTTGAAAATTTAGAAAAGTAAAAAATAATTTTGATGAAAGAAAAAATTTAATTTTGTGATCTCAAATTTTCTATAAAACATAGGGAAGTTTCAAGTTGTAAAGGTGAAGATTTTGATATTTAGAAAAACTTGATTTTCTTAGATTCAGAAAATGTCTTGGAAAAAAATTCAGTTTCAAAAGTTTAACAATTTCAAATTTTTTGAATTAACCTCAAAAATTTTTGTTCTCTGAATTTTTTTGTTTGTTTTTTCTAGAAGACATCTGACATTAATCTCAAGTTTGAATCTATAGGTGTAACTTAACTCAGATTTTTTTATTTTCTTGATTGCCTGTTACTTTCATGCTGTTGTATCAACATTTCCGTACTGAAGGACAATAAAGGATTTCTCTCTTCCATCTTCAGAAAGCCTTTAGTGATGCAGACAACCACCAGACCAGAGCAGAAACTCTGGTCTCCATGTGAACAGACAACATAATAACACACTATTCACGCCTCATATGTATAAATGAACCTTTTGTGCCGCTAATTCTCACCTTCAACGTCCCAGACATGCAGAATCCCCTCCTGCACTTTGGAAAATGAACCGTCAGACGGCATTTCTCGCCAAAAATCGGCTCAAAAGAAGGTTTTCTTTCAGCAGTAGCTAAATCTTTAGTTCTAACAACAAAATCTCGCATCGGCACAATTTCATGTTTCAAAACGGCTCATCAAAAGTCCATTTCAATTTAAAATCTCCTCATTATTGCTCACAATGAGGAACCTGAATGTTTAAGTGAGAAACCGTCATGTCTCAGTTCCAGATCAGTGATGAGACATTTTTACATCTGCATGGAAAACGTAAAGCTGCAAAGTGGTTTGTAATTACAGCTACTTGAATAAATTTGTGTAATTACAACAAATTAGAGCCTTCCTCGTTTGCGTTTTCAGTTTTTCTCTGCAGACATTTCTGACATGTCTCGTTTCTGATTGGTCGAACCTCCGTGAAGGATTGAGGCTGTTTGTTATTCAGCTGTTCGGTTCTGCGGATCTTGACGCGCCGCGCCAAGCCAAGCAGTGGCCCTCAGGGACAGATCGGTAATCTGACTCACTCTGAAGTGGCTTTTTGGCTCTGAGTGGATGATTTATTCATTTTATTTTTTTAAAGGAAGACATTATATCTACTCTGCAGACATGCAGAGAAATGTCACTTCTGTTTCAGAAGTTTGTTAGGCTTACTTCAGATTATTTCTGGTCTCTATTTTGTATTAGATAACGCATTTACATCATGTTAGATATATCCTAGAGCAGGGGTCTCCAAAGTGTGGCCCCGGGGGCCATTTGCGGCCCTTTGAGGGATTTTGTGTGGCCCCCTGTCCTCAATGCAAGACACTTTTTCATTGTTAAGAAATAAATACTACTTTAAGGTACAAAAAACAGATCTTTCTGCAAATGTCTTGGATTTGAAGTAACTAGAACCACAAACATCGACCTACTTTTACTCAAATGCAAGGCAACAGCCAAATAAGAAAACAATCAACCCCAAAAGGTTAATCGTTGATCTAAAATCATAAAACATTTGACTCATTTTTACTTATGATTGAGCAGATAAAATTCTGTTTGTGACCAAAAGTTCTTTCAATGCAACGATTTGGGCCATCATGGTAAAAACTACAGGATCCTTAAAAAAAACTGAAAATCCAGAATATATTTTCAACGATTAATCGTGATGAATCGATTATTAAAATAATCATCCTTTAGCAACAGTTTAATAGTTAACCAGATTATTCAGACTAAAAACAAAGGCAATTTAAAGAACAAAACTCCAAGAGCCAAAAGAGTTTAAAATTTTTAAAAAAATACATACTGCATACAAGATTTAAAAAATAATCATTTTTGGTAAATATGTTTCAACAAAACTCCTCAAGTGGCCCAGTTTTAGCTTCACCTGGTTCAAATTCAGTAAAAAAAAAAATACTGAATTAAAATGAATAAATGTTATATTATTGCATTTTAGACAAAATGTTTCTTTTCTTATTACAAAAATAATTTAACTATTTGTATTTTTTCATGTATTTTAAATATTGTATAAAAAAGATTCAAGTTGGTTAAATGAAGAATCCACAAAATATGCAAACGTTTTAATCCGATTAATCAATTAATTAATCAAATTAATTAGTTGTAGGCTTAGTTAGATGATTTTCTGGAGTTTCGGGCACATTATGGGCCTAAAATTCACACAATAGAAGCACCTTAATTGCAGGAATTAAGTAAAACATAAACATAAGTGTCAGCCATTACATTACAAGTCGTCAGGACTTTAATAAGAAACAAAGCTAACGAGCCCTCCAGTATCAAGCTGTTTCTGAGGAATACCACCAGAGGAATATAAGAAAACACAATAAAAACCAAAGCAAGCCTGTAAAACATAACAGAGAAGAGATAACGGGAGAAGAGACAGAACAGAGATTAAATGAATGAAGGAGACGGGAGCAGTCAGAGCGAACTGAAGGGGATGTGGGGGAAAGCCGGGAGGTTTCTGCAGACCTGTCAGAAATCTGACCAACCGGAGAACGGTGCACACACAAGAGATGATTATAATGTGAAGAAGCCAGCGCTTTGCATAGTGCTGAGTAATCAGAGATAGGCAGAGGCTTTGGAGGAAGCGGCGTGCGCGGTGGGGGATGCAGAAGGTGAGCAGCAGAACAAACCCAGCAGACGGAGCAAAGCAGAAACTAGTGAGGAGAGTCAGTCCCAGACTTGAAGGACAAACACAATGAGAGAGACTGCATAGGGATTAAAACAACAAACTGCATTATTGAGCACAGGCAGAGTTAATCCTGGGATGCTAATTAGAGCTGTGACAGCAAATGCTTTTGATTGGGAATTAAAAGAAGTAATTTAACTTAACTTAGTTATCGATTAATCAATTATTCTGATGATTAATCGATTTAAAAAACTGTCACATTCTGCAGATGTTTTATTTAAGTATTTTTTTAAATACATTGTTAGAATCAAATTAAAAGAAAGAAAATTATGCTTCCACTAACTATTTTAGTAATCAATTATTTTATTGATCATTCTAACAATTAATCGATTAATCAAATTTTAAAAATTGTCAAATTATGTAGATTTTTTAATTTAGCCACAAGCCTTCTAACATACAATATTATAAAAACATTAAAAGAAGCAAATAAAACAATTATTCTAATCATTTCTTAAATAGAAAAATATGCACTTTCTTTTCTAAAATGCTGTAAAGGATAAATCTGAAATTTAAAAAATACTCACTGATTTTTCTGTTAAACTGCCATTTGTAAACCACTCACAGATGTTGTTTAATATTAAAAAATATTTCAGAGTTCGACTAAGGAACAGACAGACAGTCCTGCAGTCCTGCTGCTTGTGGCTAAAAATACAAGCTAAAGGGAAGGAGCAAAGAAAAGACAATGACTAAGTGCCATAAACGGAAAGAATTCAACAGCAAATGTACTGGAGTAAAAAGAGACAAAAACAAATCAGACATGAGCAGAAAGTCATAGACTGGCAGAAAATAGAAGTCTAAACAGAGAAATGCACAATCAGGGAAATTTAGAAACTACTTCACCAAACAGGCAAGTTTTGGACTCTGGGAGGAAGTCGGACGAACGCGAGAGAATCTGGAGGAAAACTCCGTGCAGAGAGGCGCCAGATTGGGAATTTAACCAAGAACCTACTTGGTGTCACTGCTAGCAAATGCTCCACCATCCTGACCTTACAATAAAAAAATATGCAGCAATAATTTGGGTTATTTCACTTGTCATTAAAAAAAAATATGTTAATCATTTCAAATTCATATTTTTAACATATTATTCATTAATTTATAAATGTAAGTTTCAAATTAAATGTTTAATTAGCAGACTAAATATTGAGCTTACAAACTAATGATTTAGTTCAAAATTAATTATTTAGTTAGGAAAATCAAGCTTCAGTTTTAAAATACTTAATAAGAGAAATATTTAGTTTTAAGATAAAGAGTTATGGAATTAAATATTTCAGCTTCAATCTAAATATTTAGTAAGCAAATGAAATATTTAGCTCTAACATCAAGATTTAATTAGCAGGTTAAATATTTAGTTAGCAAGTCAAATATTTTATCTTCAAACTAAATATTTAATTAGGGAGCTAAAAAAAAGTAAAATATAAACATTTAGCTTCATGCTGATTACAGAGTTATGAAACTTAAATATTTAGTTTGTTGACTAAATATTTAGCTTGTGAGTTAATATTTCATCATCAAACTAAATATTTAGGTAGCAAGCTAAGCAATTAGGATGAAGCGAAATATTAACATTTAGCTCTATGTTGATTAATTAGTTATCAAACTTGATATTTAATTTTAAACTATTTAGCTCACTATCTAAATATCTAATCAGCAATACTATTTTTAGTTTATAGCTAAATATTTACCTTGCTAATTGAATATTTAGTTGAAAGTGTTACATTTGTAATGACTAAATCACAGGTGAAAACAGAACTTTGAGAAATTGAACCTCCATTTTTTTCTTATGAGAAGCTGAATAAGTAATATTATTTCTGTTATTTTTGAGTGTAGCAAACAGAACTCTGTTTTTACAGAGTGAAATCCATTCACGTCCACACCGATTAGATCGTCACCTCAGAAAAAATAATCACCTGAAAGGTGCTGGCGTGACAGTCCTGTTGGTTATGCCTTTTTGGCTCTTTATTCACATTTTCATGGCAGATATTAGTCTGATCCCAGGGGATGTAGAAGAGAAAATGAAGGTGCCGCTAAAAGGCCTAAAACTAAACTTAGGAGAGATTCACTCATCATTCATTAAGCCGGAACAGGTCAGAAAATTAGAGTGATAATCAGTTCCCAAGAGAAAAGTAGTGAGTCATGCATGAAAGACCTTCATTTCACGTGAGGGTTTTTGTGTGCCTCTTGGAGCGACGATGAAGAGGGTGATGAAGCGATTAGACACTGAATCACACCAACAAATGATAATCATCTGCTCATCTTTACATCTCGGCAGGGGAATAAAAGCGCGACTACTCCCCTTGGAGAACGGCTTCTGCTCCAGGTCAGATCATTAACCTGTTCGGTCTTCTTACCAGCTTCAAACTGCATTAACCCGGCCAACCTTCACCTCACCGAGCGACCAGAGACGAGCCTCGCACGGAGACCAAGAGCATCACAGGCCAGCTTGACTAAATTACATTTCAAGTTAAAAGCGGTCACAAAGGAGGGAATGTTTTATGGTTTAAAATGCAACTCCAAAATGAAAACTCAACTCTTATTGCTTCTGCCTGGTAGCTAAACTAAAACAATATGAATTGTTGGTTTATAAGCTAATGCTAAATTAAGCTTAGCTTCAACTGAAAGTGTGACGTTTTCATGTAACGTCATACTTCTCAGATGTCTGTAGCCGACAGCCATCTTGGTAGGCATCCGTAACTAACCGTCATGACAGTTGCTGACAACAATAAATCATCCACGTTTTCTGTCTCATTCAGATCGATCTCGTCATCAGCGTTTTTGTTTCTATCAATTTCTCTTGTGCATTGGTTGAAA